AAAAAGCTAGTTAAAAGAAGCAAAACACTAACAGCTAAACAAAGCACAATGCTAGCTAAAAGAAGCAACATGCTAACCTCAAGGTGCAAAATGCTAACTGAAAGAAGCTAAAACAATCATAGCTAGCTACAAGAGGCTAAACATAGCAAAAAGCTAGTTAAAAGAAGCAAAACACTAACAGCTACACAAAGCACAATGCTAACTTGAAGCAAACTGTTAACTAAAAGCAGAGCACTAGCTAAAAAGAGCAAAAGGCTAAACAAAAGAAGCAACGAGCTCACTTCAAGATTCAAAATGCTAACAAATTACAAGCTGAAACACAATAGGAGCTAGCTACAAGAAAAACATGACTAAATGAATGAATATTGGCTTAAAATAGCAAAAAACTAGCTAAAAGAAACAAAATGTTAGCTAAAAGAAGCTAAATACAATTGAATAGTAGCTAGCCACGAATGCAAAACATAATCTAAAAGAAAAATATTAGCTAAAAGAAGCAAACTGATAGATAAAAATAGAAAGACCCAAGCTAAACGAAGGTTAAACGAAAGCCATCCATCTTAAAGGCCAAAATAAGAAAACATTGAAAAACAGCTAAAAACCTAGCTGAATCTAGCAAAAACAAGAATGCTGAAGTAGATTTAAAAAAAAAGACTGTCTCAAAGAATTAAAGAGATCTCAAAGTATTGAGAAAGATTAAATATTCTGAGAAGTTCAAAAGTAAAAAAAGAAAAGTCTTTGCATTCCTCGACTCATTCAGGAGAGGTGGGGGTYGTATGATTTTGCTGACTCAGCATCACTCGGTGTGTTTTCCTGCTCTCACCCATCATTCTGCTGTAGTCTCGACTGTAGTAGAAGAGCAGCTCCTGGTCCGGGTGGATCTCTGTGGTCGTGCAGAAGAAGAGTTTACCGTTGGCGGGATACGCCACCAGGTTCTGCTCTTCGTGGGTCCTGAACACACAAACGCGTCGTATTTTAGCACATTTTTTATTTGAAACGACACAGAGCATCGAGAAACGTTCGTACCTGGCCTTCCGGACGAACATCATCCAGTTGCATTCGTTCTCGTTGGTCGTCACGATGTAGAAGTCCAGCACGTTGTTGTGGTACATCTGAAACACAGCACGCTGGTTTTTGTTTTTTTTTTACATCTTTTATTAACTTCATCTGCAGAAGCAACATTTTAGACCACAGCTCCAGACCTTCCATATCTGAGGCGTCTCCTTTTCCGGCCAATCGGAGAGATCCACGTTGCTGCAGTGTTGACCCACCACCGGTCCAAAGCAGGTCCTCGGAGGAATGCCGTCCCGGGCAAAAACTCCTGAAACGTTCAGATCCTTTGAGCACAACTGCGGCCGTGTTGATTACCAACAAATACAAACGACAAAATCTCACCGAGGGGTTCGTCGGCCACTGAGATGCGCAGGCACAGAGGACGGGGCAGAGACAGGCGAGCCCTGCTTTGAATCGGCGCATCGGGGACAAAAGTGACGGGGCCGTGTTCCGGACAGTCTGAGGTATACGAGCGCTCGCACAACGTGCACCCTGCAAGAAGACATTAGATATTTACACTCACCACCCGAGCCCTTTCAAAATAAAACCAGGGTTCTACAGTGCGACTAATCCGGTACACAGTGAATCAACCGTGTTTGTTTGTTTTTGGGTTTTTTTGAAAGTCAGAACTTGTTTGCTCTGCAGCAAATCACTCCAGCAGGAAGCTCATGTATGGCAGGCCGCTTCGACATATAATCGGCTTCACCACAGTTACGTTCCAGGTTCTGAAAATGGTTTTATAATGACACAGCTTAGTTTTTTTTAGTAACAGATGCATTAAATTCAACTAATACAAATTAAATTAAAT